AAAAAAACAAACAAACCCCCAAGACCCATCAGAAATGGGAAAAAACACTCCAAAAAGCAACAACCCCCCCCAAGACCCATCGGTAATGGGGGGGGGGACAAAAAAAGAAACAAATCCAAGAGCCATCACAGCACAGAAACATAACCCCCCAGCTCAAAACCACGCTGCAAAAACATCCAGAACAGTTTTTAAAAAGCAGAAAACAGCACTTTACCTTACCAGGCAGCCCAAAGCCTCCCTGCAAACACACACACAGAAGCAGAAGGTGGCAGCTTAAAGTCTCCTCCGATGCACACTCTCTAACTGGTGTGGCGAAAGAGCTACAAAGCAGCCTTGTCGCCACCTACAGTTAGAAATTTGAATTTCCCACCTTTATTACTTGGCTTTTTCTGTTCGTAAGTGGAAGCTCCGGTCGCAAGTAGAAGCAAAAATTTGCAGCCGGAGCTGGTCGTAACTTGAAATGATCATAAGTAGGGACGTTTGTAAGTCGAGGCACCACTATAATCGTGATTTTAAAAATGATAAAGATTTTTTTAAATCAAGTATTTGATTTAAATTGTCAAAAACAATAAAATTCTTTTGATTTACATCATGATTTAAATCAAATCCACTCTGTCCAGAGTACATAGGTACACTATATATAGTCTCCATGGCTTCACATACAGATCAGGAAGAGCAAGAACTCCTCCTCTATTTACATTTCTACTAGCAACATTTCACTCATGCTGCATTTTTTCCCTAATGCTGAAGTCAATGTAAACAAAACAAGCTGATTGTGAGAACATTGGAAATGAATGTTTAATGTCCACACGTTTTCATTTTTTTGGAAGTAAATACTCTGACCAAAAAAAAAGAAAAAAAAAAGAAAAAAAAAGACAAAACCCAAACTTTGTATGTTGACCAAAACATCCAACTTTATTTTAGATGAGATATAATAAATAGTTAATTTTTTTGATGATATACATAGCTGAGCCCCCAAGTAGCTAAGGATGAGAGAATATATGAGCCAAACAAATTATAATCATATAGCTCTGTTGATCACCTTGATCATCTTGCTTGTGGTTAGCACAATTTTTCTAAATAGACAAGAATTCTAGAGTTACGATGCAAACTGTCTTCTAAACAGCCCATAAAAGAAAGTCCAACTTTTTCATAAACAAATTACCGTATTTTTCGCACCATAAGACACACTTTCCCCCCACAAAACAGGGGTGTGTGTGGAAAGTCTGTGCGTCTTATGGAGCGAAGAAAACAGATTATATTTTCCTGTTTTCTTCTCCTAAAAAATTGGTGCGTCTTATGGAAAGGTGCGTCTTATGGAGTGAAAAATACGGTAAATAGAAAAAGGCAGCCCCAAGCTTATTGTGGGACAATGTTATGAGACCTCTGAAATCTGGAGAACAATGAACCCCTATGATTTTTGAAGCTCATTAAGTAACTTCTTTAGTTTCCCAAGTTCAATGGAAGGTAAAGAGGAAAGAAAGAATCAAGCAACAGCCTGTTGTCCAAGAAGTGGGTTGTATTGACCTGAAAACGGCACAGGTAAATGCCCAACCTGCTAAGACCACAAATCACTACGAGACAAGTCATCTTACCAACTTGACTTAACCTTATACTATTAGCAAGATAGTGATGGAAGAGCCACCTACCCCTATTTCATTACAGTGGGGTCTTGACTTGAGAACTTAATCCGTATTGGAAGGCGGTTCTCAAGTCAAAAAGTCTGTAAGTCAAGCCGTCTGTTAGTCAAGGGTCCACTGTACAACATTTCCAACCACAGTAAAAACAGCAGTACCTTCACTTATCCTTACTTCCTAAACTGCAGAATATAAGCCTGATGTCCCAATGAAGGTAGATGGAGGGCATGCATTCCCAATCAATATTAAAAATATGAAAAGTGACTGTATGTTTTTTTTTAATTGTTACTGTGAAAACATGGTCCCGGACATAAATTGCTCAAAACAGACAGTTCATTTACTTCATCAAACACTCCATATCAAAGAGAATAATAATAATGATATATTTTTATTATTATATCGTTAAACTATTATCAAATGAAGTACAGTATTTATTTTGTTAGACCACTTGGGACGGGACATTTTATTTATAGAGTGCCTTTGGACATACAGTAATTCACACACCTTGTTTTCTTCAAAGTTGGGAAAGGGTTGTTTCTCTCAGGAAAATATATACTATAAGCCTGCAGGTACACACAGGGAGAAGGCAGACCTTCAGGCATATGTGCATCTTCAGGCTTCATGCTCTACAAATGACATATTCATATTTCAGATGTGCAATGTAAACTAGCTTGGATTTGAAAGGAAGAGCAAGCATACACACCATTCAAACCAATCTTGCTAATTGTGGAAAATGTAGTACTGTACCTCAGAAACTAATGTAAATGACAGTTACCCAGATACGAATTGCCATTCTACTCTTCCCTTCAAAATTTTCTATTTGACAATGTGTATCACAAATTATTCAGTTCAACAGATGAAAAGTCCATGTATATTTACAAAAGACAGCTGTGAGAGCACACTACATCAATACTGATGGCATATTTTTTCTGAAGTTGTTATTCCTGGTAAACATCTGTTCTTTAGATGTACAGTGGCTTAATAGTAATTTTCTTTGCCCAGGAACTTTGGAAACTGCAGTTCTTGAACGAGGGTTCAAACAGGGCAAGGCTAGTGTTGGGATTAGACTATCTTTCAGAACTATGTTCAGCAGTGCTTTTCAAGATACTATATACCATGCATGCTTCCATTCTCTATGTATATCTTTGCACATAAATCAGAAATCAAAGGTGATGAAGTCCTTTGTGACCTTAATGCTATAGATTACTCTCTGATAATTACTTTAGAGTAAATATGTAATATGCAACATTTACTGGTGAACAGTTCATAAGGCTGAGAAAATAATTCCCAGCATAAGAAAGAGATGCTTAAAAACTCAGGCAATACATTAAGACAAAGAGGATTTTCCCTAGCACTAGTCTAATACATCCTTACTGAATAGAAGCAACACTTTATATGCCCATTTTTGTTTTCAGCTGCAGAAAGAGTCAAGGTACTGATGAAAAGTGACCAACTATGTCATTAGAATGCTCTCAGGCAGGG